TTACGTAATCTCCCACACTGTAACCGTATTTAAACTTAGTTTTCGTCCTTTTTCTCTTGTAACTGATGAAGGTCTAAGACCGAAACGTTTTTCTTTTAAATTTTTAACTTTTTAACTTTTTTTACCGTCAGAAGTTGTCCGTCCTTGCTTTATCAAACGTTTATATATATATATATATGGAAGCTCTCCATTCGACCAAAAATTTCCAAGTTTTCTGGAGCTTTTCCCAGGAAATTTATGCTCCATTCGTGCCTGTTTCGTAAATTTCGTATTATAGTCTATATATAGTTTAGCAGAAAGCAACAGGGGTGAATACGTATGTAAACTCGCACCGCGTATCTAAAATCTGATGCCCTCTAGGCCTCCTGCCTTTGCCCTTTTTGTATCCCAGCACTATCAAAGGTGCATTTATATTCAACAAGCACGAACGACAAACATGTATTTAACAGGTAAAGAGGAAAGGTGTGTTATACAAATTTGTGAACGCGGTAATACTTTCCATTGGCTACGTAGACATGCCGTGATAGCAGGACCCGCGGCTATGTGATTCGTCGAGTTCTGTCCTCTTGCAGAATTAAACAACACCCCCTCCCCCTACATCCTCCAGTTTCGTCCAAAAATGTTTATTTAGGCTGACAATGCGAACCACCTTACTTGCACGAGCAAACAGTTTGGATTCACTCGCCTTGTTCGTCGATATATTTGGCACAGTGGCCGATTGTCACGCAATCCACATTTGCCGGATTGTCTGAACTGTGGCCACCAAACAAAGTTAAGTACTTACTCAACTAACGCCACGACAGATAAAAAACAAAGTAAGGTAATTCCCCTGAAATAAAATTGTCAATAGACTTTTGTTCAAACTTTGTCCACTGAATATTTATCATATGAGTACTTTAATTATAAAATAAAAAAGGGGGTGCCCATGCTCGTTAAGGGGCAGTGAGGCATTGAAAATGTCCCATTTTAGCATTATTTAATACTTATTACAAGAACGCATTCCAAGTTATTGTAAACTCTTTAATTGTGAAACCAGAAACTGCAAGGGACCGCATACGATAAACGCTGCCAACGTAGGATCTACATGAGATCTGATCANGCATTCCAAGTTATTGTAAACTCTTTAATTGTGAAACCAGAAACTGCAAGGGACCGCATACGATAAACGCTGCCAACGTAGGATCTACATGAGATCTGATCAGCCAAAAAATGTATGAAGACAAACAATAGACTGCAAGGCTGATACTACGTGAAAAACGTTTCGAGACACCAACATGACAAGAACCGATAAAGTAGGTAGCTGCGTTTTTGAAGTCCGAGGAATTTTTTGAATCCAATTATTTCCAAATTGGACAAGCATGCAGTCCTATTACCTATTAATTATATGGCACCCAAAAACAGATGAACATGGCAAATATTCGACCCTCTAAAGTACAGTAAAATTAAAAAATACACATTTCTTTGAATATCTGATGTGTTTATTGCAAATCACACTAAAACCAATCATATACATGCAGCATCCTTTGTGAACCTTCACATTGCAGAACACAGGAAAATGCAAAAATGTTTTTTTGCCACATATCACGCTTATTTAATTACCAAATCTAAATTTGTGATAAAGAAAATGATCCATTGGAATCAAGAATGTCAGATATAAAAGTTTTCAAAATGTACCAATGGGTACAACATCTACTGATAAGACTCACATTGCAAAGGTTTGAAAAAGTGCAGGAACTCACATATATTAAGTGTATTTAATCCCCTTAACAGAAATATCTAGCATTTGTTATCTGTTGTTATTTTGAATGGATTTTGTGACATGTAACAGCAAATTTCAGCCTGTGCTTAATCCACAAGATTTTTTTATGTGGGTATTGACTACAGCAATTTCACAATAAATGACGA